GCATTGCAAGCAAGAAAGAAGAACACCAACAATGAACTTATTATTGAACGAGAACAAATTACCACAGATGGAGGTGATGTCAAATTGCCAACTGTGCTAGATGAATCACCAGACTTTAATGACGAAAGTGATGTCATCAGTGCATTAAGTTATGTCATGCCTTACTTCTTGGAAGGAAAAGTCAAAGATTTGGAATCAACGATACTCCCTTTTATTAAGCTGCTTTTTGCACAGGATAGCCATAACGTCCAAACTAATACTCAAAACACCATAGAGAATCTCGCCCTCAATCCCCAAAATGAAATGAGAAAGAGCTATATTGTAGAAAATGTGTTAGATGCTGAAAAAAATGATAAAACTGTCATGATAATGGAAGCGAACACTTTAGGGTCCGATTATAAACACCACCTAATTAAAAGCGAAGTAGTACCTGCTCAGCCCTGGGAACATGGGTTGTCAACGATCCAGGACCCAGAGCACAGGGAGAAGTTAAATAGAGTAAAGGCATTCCTAAAGGGCAAGAGGAGGTACCTCAAAGACATGGAGGATCAGAACATCAAGGGGAAGCAGGGATCCACACTATTAATCAAGAGCACCCCTAAAGCAAGGAGCCCCAAGAGAAGAGCCCCCAGTGGTCTGTCTCACAGTGAACTGCACAAAGTGCAGGAGCCAAGAAAGATAGAGATGATCTCTGTCCACACGGAGCCATCATTCGTCCAAGACTATATGGCAGCATTATCCTCCACCTCTCCTCCTTCCGAAGCTCCAGACTTGACCGACCAAATTGATGTTTTAAAATATACACATACAAGAGTAAAACATATGAAGGCTCCTAAATCTGAGGCATATGCTCGAAACAATTACGTGTTCCATCCTTCTGACTCTTCTCAGAGACACAGAAACCTAAAAGTGAAACATAAACAATGGTTCAGGAAGACAGATTCTCTCCAGAAGCTGGTGCCTGGGGGACCTCTTTCCTTCGCAGTGAAGAGCCTCATAAACGCTGTCGAAAATAATCATCCTGAATTAACTGGAGAAAACAAAGTGCTGACTAAGACCAACCCTGAAAGCACTGTCCCCAAGGAGCCTTCGACAGATTCTGCTGTGATTTCCCAAGACTTAATGCAAACACAATGGAAGTTTCCCAATCCAGGTACTGACTTACCCTCCAAACCTGGAGACTCCACTATCCCAATGCACCTACCTTTAGGTGACACTTTTAAAACTCAACTCGATCAGGAGCTACGGTCCCTCATCCCCAACAATGACGTGAGAAAGCTCTTCACTCAAGTTCTCTGGACTTTGAAAACGGACTGCTCTGCTCCTCAAATACAGACGGCCTGTGCCAAGCTCATTTCTAGAACAGGCCTCCTGATGAAGCTTTATAACGAGCACCAAGACGTTAAAATGTCCAAGACAGCCTGGGACACTGACCAGTGGAAAAACGACCACTTCATTGATGAAGACAACAAAATCGTGAATAAGGAAAAAGTACAGCTGCCAGATGAGGTGAGGACAGCTCCAGAAATCGGGGTCCCAGACTTTCCTTCAGCATGTAGGGCTTGCCTGTAGAGTGCGCATGCTCCTGCACCATAGCTCATCTTAGCCCAGTGACTATAGTTAAGACGGTCATCTCCCACTTTGCGCATTTAAAGGAGAGTACTGTTCCAGAAGACTAATCACAAAAATGGTACAAAAAGAACGTGTACTAGTAAGAAGACTGGCTTTGGGTAATGAATGGTTAGCTTTTGTCTTTTACATCTGTTTGTTCATAATTCCTTCTTATATTTCAGCCCACAATGGAAGTACCGAATTATAAGTATTTTAAGAAACTCTTCGTGGCAGTATCAGTGACTGCTGTAGTGGTGATTTTGGTTCTGGTGTTCTGTCTCATTAAGGTAAGGACAACAATGAATTCACATTTCTGGGATATATCTTGTCTTTAGAATAGATGCAGAACCCATAAATTGAAGATTAAGTCTACTTTCTGACCTAACACTATGTAATAATCATGTGGACTGGGCTACACTTTGATTTTTCATTGCAAAGTATATTCCAGGACTTTCAAAAGAACCCACTCCCAGGAGATCTTGGTGGCTCTGAAACCAAGATAACAAGCCATTAGACTCTATGAGAAGGTAAGCTTAGAAGGCCAGGTAGATGAAAGCAAAATTTCATCAACCCAAAACTATGGCAGTGATTCTATATAGTCAGTCATTTTCCTTCTGTCATTGATTTTATCCTATCATTGATTTTGTTGTTAGCTGGCTTAACTGGTAAGAGAGAGAAAAAATGACATCTCATAAGAATTATCAATCCAAGAAGGAAATATACACACACAAAAAAAAATCTAGAAATTATCTTGTAGATTCATTAGGTTTTGTTAGTGTTATTCCTTGCTAGTCTGTGAGGTATCATCTAGACCGGCTCAATTAACAAACAAATTCCTTTACCCACGGAATTTCTTAGAGTTTGCCTCTATTTACTGTTTGTTCAGTTATATAATACTTTATTAATTTCCTGATGAACCTCTGCTAGCATAGTAAATGCATATTTAAGAAGTTGACCATCTGACCTTATTCTAACAATTCCCACCAGTTTACCTAATTACTTTTTCTATTGTCTATTCCCAGAGCAGCTCTCCCTTCAATCCGGAGCATTCCCTATCCATCCCCCATTCTCAACATATCACTTCCTACTTGTGTCTGTGCCTTTGCTCATCTAAAGTCCCTTTCACTCACACTGCCTATTAGTCTATTAAAAGCCAATGCACAAGCGTCTTTGTTCACAAAGTCTTTCCTGAACTCTCTTGTCTTTCGGACCTTGGTCTCTCTCTGAGGCCCTTAAGGGCCAGAGAGAATCATATTCCTTTTCCTAAGAACTTGAGAATATGGTAACAACTGTTTTAAAGGCAGACTACAAAAGGCAATGCAAGGTCAACACATTAAGAAGCAAATCAGGTATTTAAAGACAAAACTGCTTTCTGATTTTTGTACAGAAAGTAACAGCTAGCAGCAGCAGGCTTGATCCGTTCCTTGTAGAGAAGGCAAGGAACAGGCCAACAAGGGCAGTGTCTGTTCTAACATTGCCCACAGTAGAGCTGTTGCCTGCAGCAGCAGATACACTGTCAGGCCACTAGGACACTGTGCCTGAGATGGAGAGAGGTGGGCTCAGTGCCCTCAGTTCATTGTTTCAGTCTACTCTTTATGTTCTAGTCTTTATCTTTTTGAGCTTTGTCTCTACAGAAACACAGTCTGTCTGTGGAACCGATCCTTTTCTCACATCATAATCGGGCATTTGGTCATTCCTGAAATATAGACAAAGTATAACTGCCCCCAGAAAGAAGCAGTTGATTCTCTCTTAGTGGCAAGAGAGACTCATTTAAGACTGGGGAGGCTGGGGACCAGCACAAGGTCAGCTAAAGGCGTTGGGGAAGACTTACTCACTGACTACTGCCCAGATGTGCTCCCACTGCCCAAAGGAGTATGTGGCACTTTCCTTTTTAAATACACACACACACACACACACACACACACACACGAGTTTATTTACAAAATTAAAATACATTGTTTTCCAGAACAGATAATTCCAAGTTCCCTCACCCCCGCCATCCATAATCCCACTCTCCCCCTGCAAATCCTCATCCCTCTGCTTCCACCCCTCCCTCATGGATCCTTATACTCTTAATATAATAATGGTTTTATACAATATTTGTCCTTGTGGGACTCAGTTAATTCACTCAGCATAATGCTTTCTGGGCTCTCGCAAGTTAGGTAATAATTTACAAAATCATGGCTCCTGCGTGCTGCGTAGTATTCCATTGAGTGAATGTACCATAATTTTTCAATCCATTTATTTGTGGTTGGATATCTGGGCTGTTCCCATGTTCTTGTGATGGTGAATAATGCTGCTATGAACATTAGTTTACAAGTCGTCTTTTGTGCCTCAGTTCTCATTTTTGTCATGGTATACTCCAAGTTCGAAAGAAAAAAAATAAAAGGTGACCTAACAGTGTGGAAACTATTGAGCAATATCACTAATATCACATGCAAGCAAGATCCTGCTTAAGATTATCCAAAAACAACTGAACCTACATCATCAGCAGAGAACTACTACCAGAAGTGCAAGCTGGGTTTGTAAGAGGTCATGGCACTAGGGACATCATAGTTAATGTTAGATGGATCTTGGCCCAAAGCAGAGAATACCAGAGGAGTGTCTATCTGTGTATCATTGACTATGCAAAGACATTTGACTGTGGATGACAAAAAATTCTAAGCTTGAGGAAAATGGGAATCCCAGAACGCTAAGGATGTCAGTATAGAGACTAAGATGTGCCTGATCCAGGCCAGAGTCTTCACAACTAATTGCTATGCATCAGAGAGCTGGACAATGACAGAAGAATTGACACCTTTGAGTTGTGGTACTGGAGAAGAATATTGACCATGCCATGGACTGCCAAGAATACAAATAGGTCTGTATTAGAGAAAGTGAAACCAAGTTTCTCCTTGGAGACAAGAATTTTGAAGTTTTGTCTCACATGCTTTAGGCACATGGCCAGGAGGGACCGGTCCTTGAAAAAAGGACATCATGCTCTGAAGGGTGGAGAGAGAGCACAGGAGAGGAAGACTCTGGATAAGATAGACTGATACAGTAACTGGGGTAATGGAGGTAGGTGTGTCTGAGTCACTAAGACTGGCTCAAAAAAGGGCAGGCTTCAGAGCTGTTGTACAAGGGGGTCGTAGTGCATCACAGGCAACTAGATGCCACTTAACAACAACATAATTGGACCAGGAGCAACAGTCAGAACAGAGCAGGGAATCACTAGATGGTTCAGGATCAGGAAAAGTGTAAGTCAGGGATGCATCCTATACCCATATCTTTTCAAACTATATGTGGAACAGACCATTAGGGAGGCTGGACTTTATGAGAAGGAATGTGGGATCAGGACTGGAGAAGACTCATCAAAAACCCACATTATGCAAAGTGGCACAACTTCGCTTTCTGAACCTGAGGAAGACATGAGACATTTGTTGCAGAAGGTAAAGGACTGCAGTCTTCATTATGGATTGAAGCTCAACAGCAAGAAAACAAAGATTCCAGTGGTGAGAATTGGGACAATTCCACTGAGACGACTGGTAGCTTCATGACAGACAGAGGAGAGATTGACCTTAACAGCTTCATCTTTCTTGGTTCAATAAGTTACACTCTTGGAAGCAGCAGTCAGGAAGTCAAAAGATGATTTGCATTGGTAAAATACCCTGTTGGGGACTTACGTGGAGTACTGAAGTGCAACAATGTCCGTCTGGAGACTAAAGTGTGCCTGATACAGGCCATGACCTTCACAAAAACTTGCTATGCATCAGAGAGCTGTATAATGACTAAGGATAATAGAGTATGACTCTATGCTTTTGAGTTGTGGTGCTGGAGCAGAGTGTTGAACATACCATGGACTGCCAGGAGAACATACAGGTCTATTCTAAAGATGGTGAAACCAAGCTGCTCTCTGGAGGCAAACCTCTTGAAACTCCATCTCACATACTTTGGGCAGGTGGCCAAGAGGGACCAGTCCTTGGAGAAGGATGTCATTCTTGGAAGGGTGGAGGGATAGCACACGGGAGGAAGATCCAGGATGAGATGGATTGACTCAGGGATTGGAGAAATGGAATTGGGTCTGTCAGAGACAATGAGAGTGGCTCAGGAGAGCATAGGATTCAGAGCTATTGTACACAGGATACCTGTGAGTCACAGGGAGCTTGATGACACACAAAACAACAACAATAAACCCTCTGCTTTTAATGTCTATGTTCTGTTTAGCCTTATATTTCTACATTTA